TAAATTTGGGATACTACACTTTGGCACACTCCAAATCTAGCTGATAAGTCTTCTTCTAGTAAGCCAACTTTTAAACGACAAAGGACCAGAAAAAATTCATTCTCGACAGTCAAAGCCCTACTAGGCCCAGGTTTATATTTGTGCTTAGTTTCTCCTAAATCTTCTGTGTTTTGGTAGTCCAAGTGAGCCGCGGTCTCCCTCCCCAGAAAGTCAAGAACCATTGAAAACACCTCATAGTTCTCAAATCCAGTGTAAAATCGTAATAATTTAGCATTATCCTTGACAGTTTCGATGCTGAAGGCTTTCTCCTCGATCAATAATTCCAGCTCCTTCCTGGCGCTTCTTTCCTCCTCGAGTTGATTTTCCAGCTCTTGTATTTTTTTGTTCAATTTGCGCTCCTTAGTTTGCCATGTCTCAAGTAAACATCCGTTAACTTAAGTTGATGTTCCCAGTTTTCATCTCCAGTTTGAACTAAACCTTCACTTTCCAGATGATCAGTTTCTGAACCAGATTTCAAATCCGTGTGTTCAATGTTAATCGATTCGGAGACTGAATGCTGCTGCGATTTCTCTATTTTTGTTTTCTTTGTGTTCAACGATGCTCGATCGGCGGGCTTTCTCCTCTTTGGTTTTTCGACAGTAAAAATAAACTTTGTCGGTATAGAATCTGGCTTTAAACGAATGATAAGTCTTTGCACTCCGCTTTGGAACTTCGATTTTGACACCCAAAAACTATGCAATGCTTCACCATGGATAACAACTCTTAAAAGTAGACAAAATATTATCTAAATGTCAAACTACCTCCTACATTCCTTCTCTAATTCCTTGTACTTTACAGCGGGCTATACCCGATAGCCTCGGTTTGGTCTAAGCTCATCGAGAGTCCGCTGATTTCGCGTACTCAACTTCGATAAGAGCCATTGCCTGTTTTCACATGACGTGACGCGGATCCATAATATTGGGTGTCCGCCAATATTATGGAGCCCATCGGCAGCGTAATCTGATGCTACCCAGTTCACACGAGTTTCGCAGTACTTTTCGATTTTATCATGGATATTTCACAGGAAAACTGTGATGAGGACCTGGATAGTCTTTCTAAAGATGTACCAGTGCTTTCTGAGTACGCAGAATGTGGCTGAAGCTGCGGCGATCGAAAATGAATCGGCGAAGCGTCAAGTTTCGAATGGGGATGTCTTACATGAGAACCAACAATGAAGGCGCTGAAAGTTCTATTCGCAGTGGTCGATTGTTTATTTCTTCCCAAAGTCGATGATTCTCGTAAACTAAAAGTAATTACATCACCAAAATAACTGTAACCGCTTCCGTTAGGATCGAAATACGTCGCGAAATATTTTGTGGTTTGACTTACGCTACCGCCAGGATTACCGCAGTATAGATAGGCATAGCGTATAGCTCGCGTTTCAGTTCTTCAGAAGATCCCGCGAGATCAAGATCTGTTAGTGAAAACTAGAAGACAAGTTAGAGCGAAAATCTCGATAGAAATCAAGACCCGCGAACGTTGGTAAGCAGCAATCTAATTANTCACTTAACAGTTCAAGCGTAGGGCGGGTCAACTGCTCATTAGAAAAGCCGTGAAATGCCGTGCGGCCTGGTACTGAGCGCAAAAACACAGAAAGCCTTAGTCAATATGAACTTGATTATCAACCCTTGTCCACAGGTTTACTTATGTTAATCCGGGTTGGTCATCTTGTGGTTTCTTCACTAAATAGATGGTGAATGACATCTCCTTTTGATGGAAGAGATAAAACACACCTTATTCAAAATTTATCAATTGTAGTGCGATTTCTGAACAAAACAAACAAAAGAAAGAAGAAATATCGACAATGGATCATGAAACGGAAACATTTACAATTAACTCAGCTGGCTCGGACTCCGAACTCGATCCTGTCCAAAACAAGAGTGAAATGAGCCATATCACTGAAGACGAACAACCACTTCACATATTTGCCTTTGGCGTGTTTGGTTTCATCCTCCAGATTTTCTTCTCCATTGGAATCTCGGCATCTCAAGACATCTTGGAAGAAACTTTAGTACCCACTCCGTTTCTGTTAATATCTGCCTCGCTGCCTTTCTTCGTCATTACCTCTATCTTGCCTTGCTTAGTCTTAAAGTTGCCGCACAAGGCTCTTCTGGTGCCAGTAGTGGGGCTGGGTATCACCGGCGTGTTGTTATACGCTCTGGTTGAGGCCGTCATTCTTCGCGTCACCGGAGTCATCGTCGTGTCCACCGGGGTCGCCATTGGCGAGGTCACTTTCGTCTCGATGACAGCGCTGTACAGCGACACGGCGATGAGTTCATATTCAGCAGGGACTGGCGTGGGATTCATTGCTGGGCCCTTGTACTACACCGGTAAGAATTTAGGAAATTTATCAAAGAAAAGCAAAGAAAGTTTGACGCCGATGTTTGGTTTGTTTACATATTCCGGGAGTACGTGAGTGAATCTCAAAAAAGTCAACAGAGATTAATTTGTTTTTCTTTTTAAATATAAGGTGAATGGTTTGGTAAAGACAGGTCAGGTTAAAAATTCATTTCAGTCGTATTGTCAGAAGGATTACATTTTTTTTATTAAATCTTGCTTCAAGAGGCTTGTTTAAAATCATAAGCTATGTGTTAAATGTATTTCTGTTGCATTTTTGCATATTTACCCAGACCTGCTTTTCACCCACCGTTTGAGGTTCTTATGAAAGAAGACGTAATTGGTATCATTTGTACTCTGTAGCTAATCGGATTTGAAAGAAAAAGAGTGGAACTTATTTAAATTGATGGGGACTTTTTTCAGTCGTTTTTTGACCCAAAAAAGGGTGCTATAACATCATTAAGTTAATTCATCAATAGAGTTCATTTTTGTAATGAACTAGTCATCAAACTTCGAATACTCTTCAGTGAAAAATGAAAATGGACTTTCTTTCATATTATAGATTAATAAAATAGAGTGGACAACGTGTAGTTTTTTCTTCGCGAGCAATTATTTTTACTAAAGCTATTTTTACCACCAAACCAGTCCAGCAGTTCACAGCTGTATTGCTTGCGGTTCAAGTGGTGTGATTTTATCACTAAGCAATGCTGTTAGTCAAGTTTGTGCTCTGCAAGCTAATGTTTACGAATCTAACGTACAGATAGCGCTAACTGCGTCAATGATTACGCAGGTGGCACTAATCACTGTTCCGGTACGGTTTTGTGGTACAAAAAAAGCGAAATACTGGGGCCGAAGTTGAAGAAAAGAGCCGGCTATCGTTGGTATTTTGAGTCAGCTTGATTTCCAATCTGCACTTCGTTTTAGAATTGTGAAGAAATGTAAATGAAACATTACGTTGGGAATGCATTTTAATTACTTTTTGTCGCTCACAGTTGCAAGGCATTGTGAAAACACTGAGAAAACATATAATTACTGTTACCATTCTTTCTTTAACAGCAATGACAACTTTAATTTGCCTGCCTCCTGAAACGACTGTCCTTATCATTTCTTGGATGCCTGCAGTTATCTTCCCTTTTTACATCACAATCGAGAGACGACGTTTCAAGCCACTGGGAGACATGATAAACCACAAAGGGATCGCTTATAATGTACTTAATACTGAAAAATCTCCAGTGGAAGATAACCTATCACGTGACGAGAAAAGAACGTTAATCTGGCATAACTTGCATCCTATGTTGGCCTGTTTCGTGGGTTACTTTTCTGAGTTTTTGACTCTCAATGGCGTTGTTACAACTCTGGCCTTCCCAGACTCATTTTTCGATCAGAGGAACCATTTTGTATACTATGCATGCGTGTTTATGATTGGAGAATGCATCGGTAGATCCTACCTAAGTATCTTGTTCATTCTCAATTCAAAATGCACGCCTGTTATCGCAAGAACATGGATTTTATCCGCAGTGCTTTTGGGTTTGTTCATTTTCTTAACGTTGGCGTCCTGGTATCGCTTCCTCCACAGTGTCTGGATTGTCTTATTTCTCATTTTCAATGTGGGGCTTTCGGCGGGAAGCCTTTACCTAAATACGTTTCTCGTGATAACCGGCGGTGATGACGTCAAAGGCAAGGCGTTTTCGCGCGCTTTTCTCTCATTCGGACCCAGCGCCGGTGTCTTAATGGCGGGCTTAGTTGGGCTCGTATTAGAACCAACTTTAAGAGAACATTGTTTGCAATCAGCGAAATTCAGAGACTTTTGTTTTACGAGGTCAATGGGTGGGTGGAATAAGTCTACATCGTGTTTGCGGTAGTTGAACATTCTTTATAATTTTTTTGTTTTTGTTTTTTGTTCTTCAACGACAGAGGTTTCTGAATCGAATATTCATTATAAAACATGAAAATATAAATTACGTATGTGAAAGTAAGTCGTGAGGATAGTCTTGAAATAAGCCTCACCAAAAGAAAATAATTATGAATCATTTACTCTTGGCTTTATGTAACAAATCCAGCATTCTTGCAAAGTAGAAATCCCACTCTCCGTTCTCCCTGAAACCATGTGATCCCCAAATTAACCATCCCCTCTCGGCGATAAAAAAAGTCTGGTCCCTCCCCCGTTATATTATCGATATCATGGCTTTCGTAACTCCTTGATGATCGAAACATCGAATCACAATACGTGTTTTTTTTTTAAAAACTCAATTAAGTTTTGAAACTGATGGCCTAATTTCTAGTACAACCCGAGAAAATCAATGAGGCTCCCCCAACGGAACTTCTTGAAAATCAAGAATGGGTCAAAGCAGGAGCCTATCAAACACGAAGGCGCGCTATAAATGGAGCCTTAGGTCCCACTGGACCATTTGTCAATCAACCGTCGTGTGCTGTAGAACTCTTAGAGTCAAGTCAGCTTGAGCTACAGCTTCTCCAAAGCAGTGAACAGCGGGCGCATTCCTCAAAATTGTTTTATGTCTTCATCACAATACAAGAATTTTTGAGATTTGTATTTCCTTTCTCCAATGGAAACTGTCTTTATTNTCCCGTACAGGCCTGAAATTTTTTTCAGGTCTGATTTTCACTATTGCTCAAATAGTGCTTTACTGCGAAGGATCGTTCTCATATACGTCTCATAACCGCAGTTCACACATATGTTTCATATGTTTGTTGTTGTTTAATAATAAAATCATGACAATATTTCATTTTGGTAAACGCGCGAGCAGCTCAAACAAAACAAAACAACACGCAATTTACAAAGTACACAATACCTTGAGAACACGAGTAATTGAATATATTCAGTTCACTGTCGTTTCAGTACCTTCTGTTACAATTGGCGTTACCTTATTCAAAGCGCTGTTTAAATAGAAAGTAAATAAGATGGAAATCAAATGTCCATAGAATGTGCTACAGGCAAATAAATCTGCGATCTCACATCCAAAGAAATAAAAGAAACGACCCATACTTCTTTGATTCCCATGCAAAACTGTCCGTTTAGAGGCTGCACAAACTTCCGACTTGTTCCATGGTATTTTTGTGGTTCTCGGTTTGTCTGGTTTGACAGCATGAATCGCAAACCACTTTGCGTGACACCAAGTGACTCACTGTCACGCAAGGTTACTATCACCAATAGCAGGACACTTTCGTTTGCTTGAACTTCAAAAGTTCTCAACACTGCCGATATTTTCGACACTCAGATTTGAAAACCTTGATTTTGCACAAAACTGACCAATCTACGACATGCGTTTGTTCGCTGCCATGTTTCTTTTTCTTTAAATGTCTAATAACGCTCACATGTTCAAAACTTTTTAGTGTGCAATTCCCTACCAGTCTGTTCTATTTCTTGAAGGGTCATTTCAAGACTAGCTTCCGTGCTCCAATACCATCTGCTTTCCATAGAAGGCGCAATCTAGGAGCTTTTTAATCCATTCATAGAAAAATGTAACATTCTCTACGCTATTTTCATCATTAGTGATCAAGTCTAAATGAAACTACCTAAAAGCTAATAACAAAAATCTTTAAAATAGTTTCACCATCCGAGCAACAGACAGCGTATCTACCCTTCCCCTAACCCAAACTTAACCATGACTTGTCATTAGGGGTGGAGGGGTAGGTGCGCACTTACCCCTCCCCTAACCCAACCTTAATTCTCACTTGTTATTAGGGGTAGAGGGGTAGGTGCGTACTTACCCCTCCCCTAACCCAAACTTAACCCTCACTTGTTATTCGGGGTAGAGGGGTAGGTACGCAGTTACTCAGACACCGACATTGAGCCGATTTAGCAATACCCACAAAATGCATACACTTAAAAAAACTTTTTTTTCCTAACGTCTGTAGCTTACAGCATGCTTGATACAGCGCTTTAAATACACTGTTGTTATCAATTGTTTTTAGAAATCCACTCTTAGCTTCTTTGCGTCGTGGCCTACACCGAGTACGCCCCAGCGTCATGTTTTTCTTCACAGAGTGTCCCTCTTCATCCTAAGCATTTTCGTTGTTTCCAGTATATCGATTAAATGCCAAGTAGGTCTACGAGAGGATGTTCTGCTGCACCAGAACAATCCGATATTTACTGCAGAACAAGCCCAACCTTAAAACGGGAAAAAGAACCCTTAACAAAATTACCTAAAAGCAAGATTTGTTTGTAAGATAACAGAGGACGTCTGAAGGAAGACTACCATTCACCTCAGCACATATTGGACCTGCTTTTAGAAATGAAATTTCACCTTGATCAGGTCTTCCGAGAGCGAGGTAAAAAAAAAAAAAGGGAGCACAACGCGCATCTGCTCAGGTGATTTCCCTTAACCCCTTAACTTCCAGAAGTGATTGACAAGTAATTTCTCCCGAGAATATTAAGATAACAGAAGACGTCTGAAGGAAGACTACCATTCACCTCAGCACATATTGGACCTGCTTTTAGAAACGAAATTTCACCTTGATCGGGTCTTCTGAGAGTGAGGTAGAAAAAAAAAAAAAAGGAGCACAATGCGCATCTGCTCAGGTGATCCCCTCATCCAGCAAACAGGTAATGAAATACTCAAACTTATCAGGTAGAAGTTGGTATCTTGATCTGACACCAAGTTCTCGTAACTAATTTACAAGGAAATGCGTAGCAGTAGAAGGGAGAATTAGCAATCAGATCTTGGGATTTAAAGGGTTAAGGCTGCCTAGAATAGTTTGGTAGGGCACGAATTTTGGGTTTAACTGTAAAGATCCCGAAAAAGGTTAAGATTGAGTCACCGAAGTCAGGTCCTCCGAGTTTTAAATCCATCAAGCGTGACGAGAGGAATCCATAAAAAAAAAAATTACGTTGGCTCCGTAAAATGGGATCCATATAAATTGCATTAATAGTTTTCATCGTCAAATTATAGAGGAGTAGGAGGGAGTTGTTTGCTTTTTGCCTACGAACCAAACACGGGTCAAGAAGAAAAATAAGTCAAAGTAAAATCATCGCTAAGTAACCAACCTTCGTGGGCTCCATGTACGGACATTTCCAGTTGTATAGATAATACTGTAGGTTACCGTCGCCGATACCAAACTTGAGCTTTTCCAGGAATTCTTTGTTCTCCATAAGGTCCAGAGCATTGAAGACATCAAATTCGCGCTGAAAATAAAAAAAAAAAAAAAAGAAAAAAAAAAAGAGAAAAAAAATTACTCGGACATCAATTTTCAAAATTCCCTGGCCTCGGTAGTTCGAAGCGTGGTTAACGCCAACCAACGAATAAATCTCTATACGGTGGATAGCGCAGTGCGTTTTGTTCACTCCAGATAGCGTCGGTAGCGTCATCCGCTTGTTGAACAACTGGCCCCCGGAATAAGTCCTGACTTTGGTGATGTAGGTAAGTGTATGCTTAGCAAGTAATGTAAACAGAGTATAGTATTGTTAGTAATGTAAGTAGTCCGTAATGCAAGTAATTGTATTTTTGGCAAAGAATGTATTCGTAAGGGTATTGTTTCTCCTCCTAGACGGGATGCCAGTCCCAGTCCATCACAGCATTTTGCCTGTATCCACATCTACTTCTGCAGGGATAGAGGTACTATGCGAACAAAGTGTCTTGCGCAAGAGCATAACCCTGGGTCGCGAATTCCCACGTAGACTCTGTGACCCCCTCCCGCAGTACGATTTTTGTGTCAGCGGTCGTTCTGCTTTAGTAATAACTAACTGAGGGAAGCTCAACTTGGGGACTAAGGTTGAATCAGCTGTTGATTATATCCAGCGATAAGAATTCTGCGCTTTTACTAAAGGTCACGTCCTCATCAGGGCTCATTGACCTCACCTTGCTAAGCTAACGAGATGCCATCCGAAGCTTTTGCAACGCCGGCTACCAGCCCTAGCTGTAATCCAAATAGTTCTGGCAAACAATCTACACTAGTTAAAAAGGAAATCGAGTTTCTTCGTGCTAACCACTGCGAGGTACGCGTTGATAGACACTACGGCTACAAGCCTCTGGATGGGACGGAAGAACGGAGGGAAGTATAGATTTCATTGAGCAATTCACAACATTGAATTCTACATGTTTTGCGCGTTCCACAGCAGACATCAAGGACAGGTCGCGGAAATCATCCGAAAACGGTTTCACATTTTCATGTGGAAATGAAACCGAAATATTTTGTCGCAACAATTTATTAAAAATTTACCAATCAAGCAGCCAGGATTTTAATTTCGGTAATTGTCCGAAGGCAACGATCTACTGCATCCATTCCACACGTGCGTAATGGATGATAGCACAATGATAGCACAACTTCCACCTGTGAGAAAATGAGTACGAAGGAATGCGAAATCATCTCCATAAATGTCAACAATCATTCACGGTCGTCGAGATTTAGCGACTGATTAATAAAGCGTTTTTCGTAGTCTCAAAATGATTACAGTTTTCTTTAACCTCGGTCCCATAGGTTTTTGACAGTTTACACTGGTTTGAATCTGCCCTTCAATTCGCCTTTTCTTATCGAAAATTCTGGCAAAATCCGGTAAGGTTTCAGCTCCGGAACCCAGCTTGTCAGAGAAGAGCAATCTATTATGATACCGCTGGTGGACTACAGGCAGATCTTCGTTTACCATTACTCAAGTTAGATGACCGCTGACACGATAAAATCATACTGCGGAAGGGGGTCACAGAGTCTACGTGGGAATTCGCGACTCAACCCGGATGAACTGTCTGGAACTGGAGCCCAGACATCTCAATCCACAGTCCAGCGTTATGTTCCAGGCCACCGCAGTTCCCTGTAACAATTTCGTGACCTGGAGCTACCACGTTACGTTAAAAATCACTAGTGCCCCCCTTAAATTACCTGCTTGGCTAGAATCAACGCATCCTGCATCAGCTCAACCAAGGGAAAAGTTTGTGATACATTGTAGAACGAGTAGGCAGCCTTGAGCTGTTTGTGTACTGGGTGATGCATCACGGTGGAAGGCAAAGTGTAGAAGCTTATCATGTCGGTGACTTGTCCTTCTTCGTCCTGATAAGTTAAAATTAACATTCACAGTTTGGTGTTGACCAGATTTGTCTCTGTTTAGTAAAGCGCACTACGACGTAAATTGAGTAACCCTTTTAATTCTAACGAGACCAAGAAAAAATTTCTCCTAACAATATCAACAGAAAGTCGATCAGACAAAAGATGACAACAAAGGAACTTATCAATTAGAATTATAAGAATTATATCGCAGACAGTAGGGAGGGTTACCAATGAGATCTTGGGAGTGTAAAGATTAGGTACCTGAATCGCACTTCGATTTAGTGCCGCAGGGATTTCAATAAGAGCCCATTACCGGCGATCTACCGCTGCCCTGTAAGACCTCTCATTGCCGTTTGTTTTGACTGCAAGCAGGCTCTGGCGTCAAGGTTTCGCCTTACGGAACAGTCGTGGATGACACCATCGGCAGCCATTTAAGTTACCGAAACCATAAAAAAGCCATAAAAAAGCCATAAAAGTTACGTACCGAAAGCCATAAAAGTTACGTACCGAAAGCCATAAAAGTTACCGAAACCTCTAGTGTCGTAAAATCACATGGAGTCTAGTTAATAAAGCTTAAAACGCGAGTGACCATCACACAATAGGATTTTGCCCGTTTTGAAGAGTTGCTTCAGTCTAACAACCACCTTAAAAAACGTGAGCATACGAAACATGTAAAAAAAAAAAGTTTCCCAAATCAGTGTGAGGGCATCTTTAACACCACTTTTATACCCTAACTCCATAGATTTCAATGGTAATTCTCCCATCTATTTTTTGTAAAGTTCTTCGTAATTGAGAGAATGTGGCTTCATCAATGTTACCCCCACCGACGCAGCCCCAAACACTTTCTTTAGAAACTATCAGCCTTTATTTATCAAGAAAGCAGCACACTGGAGCTTTTACTCTTGTTTTTATGAAGCACAGAGTTCAATACTAATTCTCCCTTCAAGGTTTTCTAAAGTTCCTTTGAGAGAATGTGGTGTCATACCAAGAAAGTAACACCCTGCCCCATATTTACCCGTATTTTTGACCGCACATTAAGCAAAATACGTACCTTGACAACAAACGAATCTACGATGCCTTCACGAGGGGTGAACCAGTGTCTGAATTCTGCCTGTGTAACAGATGGATACATCGATAAAGAATAGTGATAAGGACCAATGCATTAAAGGGAAGTTTGCGAAAATCAAATCCGATCTGCTTATTATAATAAGTAAGCAGAGTTTAGTTTAGTTTAGTTTAGTTTAATTCATTCGCCACAGGAATGGCAGGAGAAAGGAACAGAACTTTCGTTCCAATTGACACCTAACCCCTTTATTACCCACGCATCCCACCCCGGGGAGGACATCCATCACAAAGTGATCTCGTGTGTGGGAAATTAACGTCTCCTACCCCAACCCTGCTGGAGACGGGACCTCCATTTATCGTCCCTATCCGAGCAGACTAGAAAGTCTAACCATTTGCAGATATTATTACAAAGGCAGCACTTTCTTCTCAGTTAATTAAAGACCCTGAGTGTTGGTCCGGCCGGATTTGAACTCACGACCTCCCGCACAACAGTCCGGCGCTCTACCAATTGAGCTAACCGGGAGGCGGTTAGCTCAATTGGTCAAGGACTTAAACGAATGAGAAAACTAATGACTATAACGATAAAGATGAGCTAACTATTAGGGTATCGATAACGGTAACGGTAAAGATAACGGTTGTGGTAAGGTAAACGACGACGACAAAGACAAATTAANTGTAGTAGCCAAAAAACTTATTTTGCCAGTTAAACACACTAAGCGCAATAATGGTACCATTCTCGGGGAGTTACTCTCGAGCAGAATGCAGAGCAAGTTGTGGATTTAACGTAAGTAAAGAGAGCTGCGATTGTGTACATTTACGTGAGCATGGTGTATTTCTTACCTCCGAGAACTCTGGGGCTAAGCTGAACTTCTTCAAATACTACCAAAGCAAAAATGAAAAAAGGGCGGTGAGGGGTGTAGTAAGATAATTTGGTTTTATCACCTGAGTTGACAATGTAAATTGGCTACCGTAAAGAGTTTGTAAAACTGACGTTTCAAGCCTGAGCCCTTAATCATTCGCTCTGACGAAGGGCTGATGCTCGAAACGTCAGCTTCAGAAACTCTTTACAGTGGCAATTCACATTATCGACTTGGTTAAAAAAAACAAACAAATTATCTATTTACTGCAAGTGACACAAGTAGTACTTCATATCACCCCCTATCTATGTCACACAACTTGTACTTCATATCACTCCCTATCTATGTCACACAACTTGCGCTACACATCACTCTCTGTCACACAACTTGTATTTCATATCATTCCCTATCTATGTCACACAACTCATACTTCATATCACTCCTAATCAATGTCACACAACTTGTACTTCATATCATTCCTTATCTATGTCACACAACTCGAACTTCATATCACTCCCTATCAGTGTCACACAACTTGTACTTCATATCACTCTTTATCTATGTCACACAACTTGTACTTCATATCACTCCTAATCGTCACACAGCTTGTACTTCGTATCACTCCCTATCTGTGTCTCACAACTCGAACTTCATATCACTCCCTATCAGTGTCACACAACTTGCGCTTCATATCACTCTCTATGTCACACAACTTGTATTTCATATCACTCCTAATCAATGTCACACAACTTGTACTTCATATCACTCCCTATCTGTGTCACACAACTTGTACTTCATACCTTCACTGTACTTTGATACGCAGAGCGCACATCCTGCTCTGTTAGGGTACTAATGTCTGGTATTTTTGTCTCCTGTGAAGTAATTGGACAATAGACACTGGAAACAAATTCCTCCTCTTACTTTTAACATGTATATGAATTAGAAAATGAAGGAAAGTTTTATCACGGGTGTGCCTGTTGATTTATGGCTCTCTGAAACCAAAAAAACAACTTTCAATTTCTGTACCCGCACCTCATTCCACCCATCTCCATCAGTGTCAACTTATTACATGTTTAGGCATCATACAAATTTTGGTGGGCTAATGTGCCGATCAATTCAAAACTTCAAAACCCCCCCCCCCACCCCCTGGTGACCCATGCGTATCTACCTGGTGGATGAGGAATAGGAACTTTGCCTGAGTGTTGTGGAAAATTTAAACATTGCCTGGGTAGGGTGAGGAAATTGGAGCCAGAAGTGTCAAGTCTTTCAAGTGGAATACACAGGTTTTGTCTTTTAATATGGTGGTGTTTAAAGCTAAAGAGTTCAATTTCACAAGCAAATGGTTCAGGAAAAAAGGTCTATAAAAAGTTGACAATCAAATTTGGCATACTTGGGTTTAGCACTTGATCACAATTTTGGCCCGAGGAGGGGAGGGGGAATTTGAACAGGCCTACTTTTAAACGTTCAAATGCACAGGGGGTGGGGTTGCCCAGGTGGGAATGTTGAAGCTTTGAATTGCTCACTGCATTAGAAAGTCACATATTACCATTTTTTCCAATACTTTTCCTCACAAATCAATTTTGACTTGATCCACAGATTCTTGCAGAGGTACTCAAAAAGCTTGGCCAACAGCAAGACTGTTAATCTCACCCTTGGTTATGGTCTCACTTTTAATCCACCACCAAAATGGACATACAGTACCAGTACAATTGAAATGACTGAATTGATATCAATTCAAAACAAATGTGTATTGCTTGAATTTCTTACCTCTGGTAGTCTGTATAGTTTCACAGTCCTTTGCATGGTCATGTTACGGCTGAGATGAGAAAACTTGACATCTACAAGTTTCTTAGGGTTCAGGGACCTATGCCAGTAGCTGAGAACAATGACAGCACAATTAAGTTTTTCCATACAGTCAAGTAAAAACACATATTTGGAATGATGGAGCCTTGCTTTATTTTGAGTACACAGGGTTGTAGTTAAGAAATTATGCTGTTGCCTGAAATTTCAAGTGTGGTGAAAGATTTTACGTGAATAACCTAAGAAGTGCTAGTTGTGCTTTACCAAGCAATTGCCAGCCAAAAATCTGGCTGGTGATAGTGGCTTTTTCATCTGGCAAATTTTGCTGGCAGCTGGTGCTTAGCAACAACCCTGAACACAGTGCAGCTGGATTAATTTACAAACAGAATACAAATCTTCAAAGGAACTAACAACAGTACTTACCGACAACAAGCAACTGGTTTGGGAAGAACAACACCAGCAGTATAAACAGCTTGAAAAATCCCTTCCAAGTTCACCCTTCTTGTGATCTCTCTTATCAACACTGGGGCAACTCGTTTGGATCGAAGCTTCTTATGGACACACAAAAAGTTAATTTCAACCATTGAGACAACCCTGGAGAGAGAAGAAATGAAGAGAAATGGTTAGAAATTGTCCAAACACCATAGGCCTTTAATGACAAGAAAAGTCCACTTTGTAAATTTAAAGAATGACAAGAAAAATTTTGAAAGTCTCTTTAATTTGTTTTTCTTTTCATGTTTTGGTTTCTTCCACTTCTGGAAAATCTGTCACGTCACTATCTGCCAGCAATATGAATCTTTCAATGCAGTTAGCAGCCAAAATTTGAGGAAATTTCTCCAAATGATCTGGGATCAACAATGGTGAACACTTTGTCATTCATCAGCCCAAAGGCATGTGACATGTCAGCAGCTGATTGGTAATATCAAACACACCTAAGAAAATTATCATTATTTAACATGTGTTCAATTATGGCTTTTGTCAGGGCTGGAAATCCTTGTAAAACATTATAGTTTACTCAATAATAGGTTATAAAAGCTTCACAATCAACTTACTGTTCATAAACCCTAATTTGTGCAGGTATGGCACTAATAAAACCTACAAGCTTGCAGTTACTTGCCACACGCACACCACAATGCCATGACATTTTCCAACCAGGAGGTTTAAGGGCCCTGAAATACAACCATAACTCAAAATGTTTGTATCCTAATAAAAAAATTATGATGTTACTGGATTTTTCAGCCTTAGATATTCAGAATAAAATACTGGTAGTAGTAGTCAACTGTCTTGTAAAATTTCAATTATGGGAAATTATACAAACCACAAAAGAAAATCTGGAGAATAGTCGAATCGAAACATGTTGTCATCATCTTCCACATAGTTTTCATTCAGTAATGTGTAAAGCTCCTTAAGCTGCAACAAGAAAAGGAAACACTTATCAGGAAAAATGTAAAATACTGGAATTCTTTTTAGAAAAGAACTAGTCAGTTGCCAGACAAATGACATACTTAAGCCTATACAGCCAGTCCAAGATCTTTTTAAGATCTTTGCCAGGATCCTCAAGGATTTAATGAGGATCTTACAAGGATCCTTATCAAGATCATTTCAAGATCTTTTAAAGGATCCTTTAAGATATTTGAAGAATAAATGAGGATCTTTCAAAGATCTTTTAACCCATTGACACTTGACACCTCGCACGTGACAATGCCAATTATCCTCAGGGATTTCCTCACTTGTGATTGCCTTACAAGAGCGCTAAATTAAACATATATGCGTAGTAGAGATCAATGGGAAATCAGATTTCGAAGTTGTGGCCAACGAAAAGGGAAATAATTTATTGTCAGGAATATACCAAAATAAAGTGCCCTTTAATTCATGGAGAAAATAAAATTTCAAACTATCCCTTTGCCGCGCGACGATTTTCGAAAATGAGATTTTTTTTTGAAGCGTTGCGAAAGCGAGATGTTGTCAAAAGATAAGAGGTCGAGAATGCGTAGTTCGGTTGGATTTAATCATTTTTACTATAATTCTTTGATAACCATTCCAGTTTCTTTCAGGTTAGAATGTCTGAAAGCTGTTAAAGACAGGAGAAGCGAAAAATACACCTGTGCGAAATACGAAATTGTGAACAGCAAAGAAAACCCAGTGGGGCGTACTAACACTTACTGAAAAAAAAAAAAAAACAAAACATCAGACAACAGCGATCGGGTTTCCAATCAAGATTTATTGAATTAAAATTCAGCAGCCAAACTTAGTAAAACATCTGCCAATGGAGACCAAACCAATTGAATTGCCAAAACAAAAAAAAAATCCAAACTCGCAGCGACACGAAAATTTAGTGAAAATTTAAAGTACGCTCCGCAATAAACATGAAAGCCATAAAAAGATCAAGGCAAAATTGGAACCAATCAAACGGCCAATCAAGGATAAAAAAGGCCAAAACAAGAACCAAATACTTAATTATACTTATCCTCTCGTCTTTGTTTGTTTTCTCTTCTCGTCGGGCACTATTCTGGTGGAAAATGACTCAGGACATGAAGGAAGGTTCAAGCACTATTCAACTATGGAAATCGTGAAAGCAAGTCTTACAAAGACCTATGCTGCACTTTAAGCACTGAAAAGTGGTCTCTAATGATCGACCCGACACTGTCTTAATACCTAACTTGCTGCAATGAATGCAAACCTTCTTCCTACCTTCAATCTTAACTATGAAATGAGATCCTACATTTCCTAGCTCTCGAGACAAAAAAAAAAAAGATCCTTGAGGATTTTGGCAAGAAAATGAAAGATCCTTGAAGATCTTAACAAGAATTGTTAAGATCCTCAAAGATTTCTCAAAGATCTTCATGAAGATCCTTGGGAGGATCCTCAAAGGTTGTCATGAAGATCTCCCTTGAATGTGTTTTTTCACTAGGAAGAGTATTTTTCTTTTGTTACAAAGGAAAGCACAACCTTATTTGTTCAAAAAGTTGTACAAAGAGGAAAGTTTTAAATAAACATTGTCCCGCAAGCTACAAAAAGATATTTAAAGGGTAAAAAAAACCCAGCAGCTTATATTTGCTGCAATAGAATGCTCTCCCATTTACCATTTCAATCATCTGCTCTTTGAAGCTCAGAGTTTTCATTGAGCTTCACTCTTAGAAAACTCTTTGCTTCTTGGAAGAGCTTATGTCTAAGGACAAAATTACATCATTCAGAGCATATTTTCATGTCAATCAGAAGCCGTTTTGGTATGCATACCACTTTCTCATCACTGATATCCAAGGTGTCCCAAATAAAACCTTGAGGGAGGGTGTAAGGTTCTTGTCTCAGTTGTTCAACAGGCTTGTCCTCCTCAATGCATCCACATTCAATGATATCTTCATCTAAAATCAATGAAGAAGAACTAAAATTGTCATTTGTTTAACCCTTTACACTCTAAAATCAATATGGACATTCTCTGTACTGTTCTCTATACATTTCCTTTGGTACAGACAAGGAGAATTTGTTTAACAATCAAGAGCTCCTTTAATTGATGATTATTTCCTTTATTCTCATGATCTTACTGGGTGATTCATATATCTTATTAACCAAGTGCGAGGGCCGTACTGGGAGAATATCGGCCCGAGGTCTTGACAGTATGGACCGAGCGCAGCAAGGTCTGTACAAAAAAGACAGAGGGCCGATATTCTTCCAGTACGGTCCCAAGCAAGCTTGGTTAATAAGAGATTTATTATACGACAGAAGTTCAAAGGGACACAAGTGTGGTATCATTCGGGGCCATTCGGAACAGTGCCTGGTCCAATACTGAGAGAATATTGACCGGCAATAGAGCATTTTGATTGGTTGATTTTAGTTAATGGCCCTCTGACTACCCAAGTCGTGTAATAAAGGGCAATATTGTGTGGAGAAATTAGATGATCAAGGCTGTGCTCTAAGAAAAAGTGAAGGGTGCCCACTGCTCTGAAACTTTGAAATACAGGGTTCCCAGCATATGCTTTTGTATGAAAAACTAAAATTTCTAAATTGCCCAAGAGCAAAAGTAAGGCACCAGGGGCCACTGGGTGCTGCTTGACCACAGCCCTGGATGATAGTTACTTTTAAGGGAAAAAAATGTTAAAAAACAAACAGCTTGGATTTATATTACTTCAAGTTGTATTTATTTTCTAGTTCCAAGTACATTATAAATGCAAGAAAATTAAAGAAAAAAATTGTGATGGCAAAAAGAGGATAAATTAAAGAAATACTGAACAAAACCTCTAGTTCAGAAACAAAAGTTCTTATCCAGATGTAACTCTGTCCACAGTTCACAGTTAGAATCTTAGCAGAGAAAGACACACCAGCCATAAGATCTTTGGAATACCATCATTCTCTCAATAAAGCAAGTTTAACATGCCTTTGCTTGAGACTTGAAAAGAACAGCATGGTCGAACAGGACAAACCTTACCATCAATCGATTCAACATACCATTATCTGAACTTATCCTTAAATAATCTTTCTCATAATGTGAGAATTAACACAAGATAAAAAAACAAATTATTTTTTACACTAAATGCCTATCAAAATCTCTTTAAAATCTAAAATCTCACTTCTTTCAGCAACACTTAAACCTACCAAACAGAATATTTAAGTTATTTCCTCTCTTTGTTTTATTTTCCCCTTTGTATTTACTTTTACCTATACTTAAAGATAATATCATATTAATTATGTTTTTTCTTTTAGTATTAACCTATATTAGAACAACAAAATGATTATAAAGCAAGCATCAAAACGCTCAGGGTGATCCATTGTTAGCAGCTGCATTTTACATGGGTCGATAATTTTTGTGAGAAACTATTGGAGAAGTGGGTGTGTGCGTAAAAAAAATGTACGCTAGAAAAAAAATCGTACCATACTATTACTTAATCACAAGTCAGAGATTTTATCTTTTTTCTTTAAAAAAACCTCTAAAGACAGAGTCTTGTAAATAAAACAACAAATCTAATGTAATAATTAGTCAAAATCCAGCTGCAGACAAGTTGGAACAAATTAAGACCTGTAGTTGCATTACAAAAACCCACCTAGTTTAGGCACCGGCTGAGTGTCCCAGAACTGATACTTCTTTTTCATAGCTTCTTCCGTTGTTTTGGGCGCTTTCACTTCCGCAGCCCGCAAACGTTCGAAGCTCTTTTGTAGCTCTCGCAGATTTTGGAGGTTAACTGCCGGACTTGGCAGAGACTCAACTGCAGTGTCACTTCCTTCATCGCTTTTTCCCTTTTTCTTTTTCTTCTTCTTTTTAGAGCTACCCAATACCAATTGACTACCTCCTTTCGCAGGTCCCTCTTCAATATCCCCATTAACTTCGCGATTTGCGAATTCTATGCCGCCGCCTTCGTCTCGTAGAGACTTGATTTGTTCTGGCGACTCACTCTTTCCGTTGTCGTCCGCCATCTTGAAAAGGGTGCACATGTGCGTGGCCCAGTCTCTAGTCGAGGGTCCCCTTCCCATCATGCTCAACTATCCTTATCACAGCTCATTGTCACATGAACGTCATAACGTAGTCAACAACCTCTTCATCACAGCAGTAATTAATTTACACAGGCAGAAGTCTTTCATTAGGCTTCGAACGAGCTGTAAGATGAAATTATTCCTCTCGTTGTTGGTCGTGGTTGTCTTCCATGCAGTAGGTAGCTTTGGGCCTCTACATGCGTCTTGCAAAATAAGTTGGTAAGGGAATTTGAGATTACGTAAGATACCCAATAGTCCGCCAGTTTTGTGTGAGCTAACTTCGTGTGATCTGGTATTCACGAACGTACCAAATGTAATCTTGAAATTAATCTTCATCACTCCATTTTATTGAGTTAATGGGTAAAGCTTCAAAATTTCGAGTGACTTACCCCAAATCAGTTCCACCATAAATATAACTTGTGTACGTAACAACTGCACCATTCGTAGCCGTCTACCAGTGCAGCTAGGACCAAGAAAATAAAAGGGAAATTATGCTGCAGAAACCATGCATTTTTCATTTTACCTTTAAAAGTAAGGCTAAAACTGGAAAGTATGACACTGTCAGCCATTTGAGATTCAAAAGAGTTACTTTTTTAAGACTTGTCTTCAAATGTGTTACTAAAGTCCACTAGTCAATGAAGGCTATTATTTTGCTCAGTGACCTGCTCACTTGCCTGTCAAAAAGCATTCTTCAAGTCACATCATCATGACTGCCTTATACAAATCAAGGGCAAGTGAAATGAAAAGAGAAAGCTGAATAACAAAATTGACCATCTTTCTTATTCAAACTCAAAATTTACCATCTTTCTTATTCTATTAAGTATTGACAAATGCTGATCCTAGCAGTGTGCAGCACGCAATTCATATATGAACTTCACCACATCCTTGTTCACTATTGAGTCTCTGTGGCTGACAGTAGAAGGGCATTGGAAATATACAGAATCCAAAGGTCTGAGGTTCAATTCCGCATAAATAGGGACTCAGAGTCTTTTTCTTTGTCCTAATTATTGCTCATAACAAGATAAAAAAACTGTCTTTCTCTGAAAGCTTGAGCTGTTTGTAATCTGTCTGTGCAAAATGGTTTTTACTATGGGAGCTGTATTGTGAGGAATTACATTTAGGCCAGCTGATTACATTTTTTTAATTTAATAGCTGGTATTATGTTCTGAAGTCAAATTTTTACCTCATTAGCTAGAAGCTGTAAGGTATTTATGAAACTGTTTTTGTGTTAGCTGGAAAATAAAACACTTTATGAATATCTTTCAGGTCTTGGGCGGTTAAATGCAGTATGGTTAATGATGCCATCGTCAATCAGATTCAGAAGTGGCATTCAAATGAAACCTGCCCAGATGGAAAAGGGGAAAAGTGTCTATATACGGTCTGTAAACTTAGAAATCTGACCATTGTTTCAGGGTACCTTGTCTCCAGGATAAACCTCAGAGTTTACAGAGAATTTTGGAATCTGTAAATTAATCTGCTCTTCTGTCATGTAAGGTCTTTGTAATTAATGTTGCCAACTCAGTGAATTTGCTTTGGCTAAAACATTTTTTTTCTGAATCTTTTACCAGTACACCCTAACATTGGTGTTTGAATTCTCCACACTGTTCTTTTTGCATTTCCTATGGTACTAACAAGGAGAATTTGTGTGAGAATCACAGGGTTCCCACACTCCTTGAAAGTCCTTGAATTGAATTTTTTGTTTTCAAGAACTTGAAAACCCTTGAATTCAAACTCAGGTCCTTGAAAATTTTTGGAAAGTCCTTGAAAATAAGTGTAGATGAATCAAAATCAAAGTTTTCTTTTGTTTTTGGTGTTGAAAGTACAAGTTTCTAACATAACCTGCAAAACTGAGTTTTTCTTTCAAATCCCATGTCAGATTATGATTTTTGACATGCAATTTTTATGTATTTTGTACTTGATTGGTGCATTGAAAATAACCTTGGTTACGTAGCACATGATCACTCTGATATGCATGCTCAAAGTCACACTTGTTGGACTTTTCGGCCACACCTATTTTATGCAAAAAGTCCTTGAATTTGAGACCCAAGGTCCTTGAAAATGACCTAAAAAGTCCTTGAAAGTCCTTGAATTGGGTTCCTGAAAAAGTGCAAGAACTCTAGAATCAGCAGTGTCCTAAATAGGTGATCACTTCCTCTACTCTTGAGACCTTAAAATTTGATGCAGAGGTGATATTGTAAGGAGAAATTAGGTGCTGGTCACTCTTTAGAGTTAAAGGATTAAATTAAAATGACAATATTTTCAGTTTAAGACTAGCTTTTGACTGTTACTCTTATATGCCATGTTCCACTTCTATTTTTATTCATTTATTATTTTTGTTTCAAAGCTTGTGAGCCAGACTGATACTGAGATCAAAGCAATCCATGAGACACCCAAGCAACACTACAAAGATGACCTCACATTTACTTTTACTGCAAATGGAACTGGACTGTGTAATGTGAAGGTATGGAATTTTCCAGGCTAATAAAACAGTATTCAAGTAGATGTAGAAGACATCCAGTCATATCTGGCTATAAAGATAGCCCATTACCTCAATTTATATTGCCCTCTTACCTCCAAAAGCTCAAGGGGGCCTAGCTTAAAACAAATTTAGGTGTCATTACCTTGGTCCTGTTAAAAGTGTCCCATTGGAACTATTTAGAACTATAGTGAAGAAAGATGGTGACTTGAGTGAGGTATATGGGGAGAATCTTTCATCTTTGATTCTATTTCAGGTGGCATTAAGTAGGTAAATACTGATGGTTTGATAAAGAGTTTTTGACTCATTGATTGTGATGGTTGACCACAATTGTCAGACAGGTGCCAAATGTTTGTGGGCATCCCACAGGATTTCTCGTCGGGAATAAATTATTTTCATTTAAGAAGGTTGCCATTCTGATTTTAACTGAACATTTCTGAAAGAAAGTGATCTAAAATAAGTTCTCTAAGTGATGTGGCTCCTTGTGCAGAACTTCATGACTCTTGTGTGGTGATTTGACTATAAAACCTGGTAAGACATCAAACCAGACCATAACTTTGTCTCACTCTTATTTTGTGGGAATATTGAAATGTAATTTAATCATATAACCATGCCGCCTTGAGCTACATACAGTCAAACTTTGATTATCTGGACTTGTTGGAACTTTGAAATGGCCCGGATAATCAATTGTCCGAATAATCGAGAATATGAATAGTAATGAAGAACAAAAACTGATTAATTTAAGGAAGTGACATTTATCCTGAGACAAAACA